AGAGAAGAAAAGAAGACAGATGGAGAGATTTACACAAGGGTAGGCCATGTAGACACACTAAATATGACTAACAGCCTAGCAGGGTAGCAGAGTTGTTCCAGCCAATGCCTATCCCATCTCATCCCTTAAGGCAAAAAATATTTATTCTATCAAGATAGTGATCATATAAAGCCTTAATATATTATCCATTTATTTCCAATCAGTGGAAGGCTCATGTTATTACCCGCTAGTAATGATCATTCCAGGGGAAATGGAGGGATAGTATTTTTGCCCAGTATTTATTTGCTTTTGTACGTTTATTTTTCACACCAAATGAATATATCATGACACACATTTTGGTAGCTGAGGATTTACTCAGAGTCACATCCCAGTTGTAAGGGCAGACTTGTAACTGCTGCCCGGTGTGCCTCTTCATGTGCTCTTCAACTTGCTGCCTCCAAAGAGCCACTTCCCACCACAGTTTTAGGACAAGTCTCTAACTAGAATTTTATCCTACTTTTATAGCAATTAAGAAAACAAGACTGTACGAGGGCACAGGACATTACTGTACTTAAGTGTTTTTCAAAAGGCAAGTCAAAACTGGTGAATTATGTGACAGAACAGAATAAAAGGCACCAAGAGTCATCCCATATAATAAGGCTATGTTTTGTTTCTTAACAATTTTATTTGTCTACACATATGTAGGCTACAACACAAAATTTATTTCTTGCTTTGGATACAGTCAAAATGTTTAAAAATCAAGGTTCGGTGCAAAGAGCCCAGTGTTTGGCATGAGACAGGTCTAAATCTGAATGTTATTTCTGCTGGTATCATTACCTAAAGAGTTCCTGCAATGAGATCCCAGCCAATTCCCTTCTCCTCAGACTGCTTATGAAACCAAAGAAAAATACCTTCTCTCAAATATTAACTCCCATTACAGTGGCTCTTAGAACCGTCTTACTGTCAACCAAACTGCTATTTAAATTATGAAAAGAGGGGCTCCTGGGTGGCTCAGTTGTTGGGCGTCTGCCTTTGGCTCGGGTCATGGTCCCAGGGTCCTGGGATCGAGCCCCGCATCGGGCTCCCTGCTCGGCAGGAAGCCTGCTTCTCCCTCTCCCACTCCCCCTGCTTGTGTTCCCTCTCTCACTGTGCCTCTCTCTGTCAAATAAATAAATAAATAATCTTCAAAAAATAATTATGAAAAGAAAAAAAATTTACTCACTCAACCTGTATCTATCAATGCTTAGCCTAAACTCCATAAACACAGAAATCCAAATCTATTTCCCTAGCAGTCAGGCCAGGATTTTTAAATATGAGGAACTCAGTGGCCATCTGAATTATAATGACAGCTGAATAAATAAAAGACTGAGTGAGCCAGTAAGTGACTATCTGTGGCAGGCAAGAGACACCGAAATGAACAAGGCATAGATCTGGGTCTTCCAAGAAAAGAAGCATATGCATGTATTACTTTATTCATGTTTTCAGCAAATATTTATTCAGAACTTTCTATTTACCAGGCACTTGGTGAGGTACTTCAGTTACAAAACAACCATATGTGCTCCCTAAAGGGAAAGGGATATTACATAATAATCATATAAACAGACATAGAATAAAATTTAAGTGATGCAGGGTATCAGGAAATAATATAACAACAAGCCCTAGCGTACATGCAGAACAGAGTGAGGAACTACTTGGAAAGGCAGCTCCATGAGAAAATTATATTTAGCCTGAGTCTTGGAGGTTAAAACCTAAAAACTATTTTTTTTCCCCTGTGGAGAGTAGCTTTGAGGAAGAAATAACAGTAGATACTGACTTGAAGGAAATTTCAGAAAGCCAAAGGGGACTTCAAAAGTTAATCTACATCTCTCAAGGCCAGATTTACCCTCAGGGAGGGACACAGACAATGATGTCATTATCTTTGCTACGTTGGTATAAAATGATGAGAAGCATTCAGCATTGAGGTTATTTCAGATACAGATTCAAGAAGAGAACATGGTAACAAATTAAGCTTGGGAGGTGGTACAAGGTAAGGGCAAAAGGAGGCAGTAAGGGGAACGATTAGGTTTTGGCTTAACCAACCTGTTGGAAGGCAGAGAAGCAAAGGGGAGACTGAAGAGAAAAGTATTTGTGGTGAGTGATCAAAGTTATTATGGGACATGTCACATTTGAAGTGCCCATAGGATGTCTAAACAGTCAAGAAGGCTCTTAGTATCTGGTCTGAAGATCCAAAGGCAGGTCTAGGAAAGAGATACGTATCTGGGGATTTTATAAAGATATAATTTAAATGATGTGAATGAATGAGTTTACCTAAGGAAAATGAAAAATGAGACATGAATAGGGCACAGGACCAATACTTGAGAAACTCTAACTCTTCACTCATTAGAAGAAGAGGAGTCAATAAGGAGGATGAAGATGATATGAGAATGGAGAAGGAATGAAGAAATGCAGAGGACTGTGCAGTCATGAAACACAAGAAAAGAAATTATATCTTGGGGCGCCTGGGTGGAGCAGTAGGTTAAGCATCTGACTCTTGATTTCCGCTCAGGTCATGATCTTGGCAGCCTGGATCAAGCCCCACGTTGAGCTCTGCGCTCAGCGGGGAGTCTGTTTGTCCCTCTCCCTCTCCATGACCACAACCTCCTTCTCTCTCCCTCCCTCTCTCTCTCTCTCACAAATAAGTAAAAAAATCTAAAAAAAGAAAAAAGAAAAAAAGAAGAAACGATATCGAGTGTGATCAAGTGTAAAGAATTAGAGGCCATGTGTTCTGAAAAATTGTCCACGGAATTAATTGATTTGAATTAGTGACCAAAACAAGAGCAAGTTCAGTGGCAGTAGAGAGGCAGGAGGAAGCTAGGATGGTGAAGGTTGACACATAAATGGAAGATGGGGGAACCATCACACACAGTTTCAACAGTGTGCTATGTGTTGCATTCAACCACCATGGCAGCCCAGAGAGAGCAGAAGTTTTCCAATAAGAAACATTTGAAGTGAACCTTAAAGACAGAGGAATTCAGCAATGCATAAGGGTAAAGAAGAACATTCCGGTTAGATGGAATGGCATTATAAATCCTGAAAAAATAACGACAATGAAATTATAGTGATGGGCAATGTTTCTAAGTGTTTACCATGTGCCAGAAACTGTTGCAAACGTTTTACATGTATGAAGCTCACCTGAACTATAGAGTCAACCTCTTCCTTCCTCTTCCATCATCAGCTCTTGGTTGGACTAGGACAGGAGCCCAGCAGCTGGTTTTCCTGCTGCTGCCCTTGTCTTCAAGTTTATTGTCTTAAGCAGGTAAAATAACCTTTTAGGATGACCACCATATCATGTCATTCCTGCGCCACAGCTCTAAGGGCTTTCCCTCAGGTTCCAAACCAAAGTCCTTACTCCAGCCTACCCAGCCCTTCACCGTCCAGGCCTCCCTGCTTCCTTTACTACACTGCCTAGGTGTCCTTCCATCACTGTGCTCCAGCCAGATTATCCATCACCCTGGATGTTTGTCAAATGGGTCAGGCAAGTTTTTGCCTAAGAGCCTTGGCCCTCGCTGTTCTCTCTGTCTGGAGTGCCTGTTCTTGGATATCTGCTTGGTTCAGTTCTACACTTCCTTCGTGTTTCTGTTCAGACATCACTTAATGACCAATCTTATAACGCCTATCTCCCGATCCTCCAGCACCCTTACCCTTTTTATCCTTTTTCTCCATAATATTTATCATAATCTTGTATGCTTTATAATTATCAGATGACTTTCTTACTGCCTGTCTCCCCCAACTAAAATGCAATGGAGGCTCCTTGAGAGCAGGGACTGTCATTTTTTACTCACTGATGTATCCCCAGACATGAGCACAGTGCAAGATCAGGGAGGATCTGAGATTTTACCCTATTGGAAGCTTGCCACAGTTAAAGGGATGCTGGCAGAAGACACAAGGCTGCTGAGTCAGAGACAAGGGACTTAATTATTCAATAGCAATAACCAGAGTGCCAGTGTCATCCGGTTTCCCAAGCCCCAGTTTCTACAAGGTGACATGACGAGGACCAAGTGGTACCTACAGAGAAAGTGCATTGTGCTCCATAAGAAGGATGCCATGCTTTTTAAAAATCCCTAATCTTTTTTAAGGGGCACCACACCCACCTACTCTTTGCACAGGTGAGAGATATTATCTTTATTATAATGAACAGGAAAAAAACTTCCCCTTTGCTCCAGAGAGAAACACTATTCCACTTTCCAAGTCCATTTGTTGTACAAACTCTTGAAAAGAGCAATTGAGGCACAGGCAGGCAATCAGTGCCTCTCCTCACAAAACAGGCAGAAACACAAGATAGAATTGAGAACTGTCTCCCAATAACACGTGGTAGAACAATACTTATGCTTGAATGAAAGATAAACACTCTGAGTTAAATGCTATTATTATTTCAGATCTCAGATGAATAAAGTGAGGCACAGCATGAATGAACTACCTGTCTAAGAACACAGAGCTAGTAAGTGTCCGGTGAGCACAATCTAGCCCTGGAGCATACATACACACCTTAGGGACCTGACCCCTCTCTAACTCTAACCTGTCTCTCTGTCAGCTACCTTGGGCTTTGTGGATGAGTGATAGAACAAAAGAAAAGAGAAAAAATAAAAAAAGGGAAAAGCTGGAAGAAAAGAAGAATAGAGAGCAATTTTTGGATATCCATACCCGTTTATATATCCAGAGCTAGAGTACAGGGGACCTTTGAGTTCATCTTATGGATGAGGCCACTGGGGCTCCCCATAGTCACAGAGGAAGTTAGGGGGAGAACCAACTAACCGACCACCAGAACTTTTCTGACAGAGTCTTGGCCTTGCATATGGCAGGCCTATGCTGTTTCTTTCATCTTTCTTACGCAAGTGACATTCCCAAAACTTGGGGCCAGGCTATGTTACAGAGTCAATGAATAGCCAAAGATCTGTGACAGGGCAGGAGGTGGTGCCTGGACGGCCAACCTAACTATATAACCCTTCCAGTCCCAGGGTTCTGAAGAGAAGTGGTAAGTTCAATGCAGTTTTCCACTGAGGTCTGGATACCGAACTTTCAGCCATGAAGGTAACAAGCATCTTTCTTCTCAGTGCCTTGGCCCTGTTGAGCTTATCTGGTAGGTGCCTTTGTATATTTTTCTGACTTAAGTAAAACCTTTTTGACGTGTTGCATTACTGAGCTCATTACATTCTAAACTTAGAGTCTAGTTTTGGACAGATCTTTTGGTCCCACCCAATGAAATGAAATAAGGTCAGGGACCTATTCCAGAGGGCTTCTTCAAACCCAGAGGTGTCTTGCTGTTTCTCATAAAATTTAGCTAGGAGGAGCTACCTCCTTACCTAGATCACCTCAGAAATTGTCAATATCAAAATCAAATCTCACCAACATTTCTTCCTTTGGATACTATCAAGTTACTTCCTCTTCCCTTCAATAAGCTCATCCAAGATCACCACCCCCTACATAATGTCAACAAACCTGTTATTTTCTAGGGGATGCAGCATGGCAATTTTAAGTATCTATCTGTAAATTCAAGAAGTGTGAATTGGACTAATAATCAGTGTAATGTAGTAGAGGGAAAGAGCTCTTTGGGGACTGATGGTGAGATGTCAAAAGAGTTCTATTCTTAACATTACTTACTAAAGAAGACTTACATGTAATTGCAAGTTAGTTTTGTGTCACAAGATCTGGCTGGTGCTAGTGGTAACTGTTTCACAAATTTTCATATAAACTCTCCACATCTTCATTTATACACTGACACTTCTTACATCACTAATTATAAGATCAAAGGTCTAGTAACCAGTTGTGAGAAGGCAGTGAACATTCAGAAGATATTTGCTCTGTGCCTGACACATTTCGAGCAGTAAGTAAATCACTTCTGTTTTCAAAAGATATGGGTCAACTTTCATGAAACGCCCAACTGAGATACTTTGGTCATAATCAAACTTCCGCTTCATTTTCTTAAGGCTTCAGCAGGCAGGGAGTGATGGGGCACCAGTCAGATGTCCTTGAGAGAAGGCAGAAATAAGAAGGGGTTGGGTGGGGCACCTGGGTGGTTCAGTGGGTTGAGCGTCCGACTCTTGATTTTGGCTCAGGTCATGATCTTGCCCTGCATCAGGCTCCGTGCTCAGCAGGAGTGTACCTGAGGATTCTCTCCATCTCCCTTTGTCCTTTCCCCTGTTCATGCGTTCATGTGTCCTCTCCTTCTCTCTCAAATAAATAAATAAATCTTAAAAAAAAAAAAAAAAGAAGAAGAAGAAGAAGAAGAAGGGTGGGGAGCAGAAGAGGCCAGCAGAGAAGTCTTCAATGGAAGTGGAAGATTGCAAATAAGGGCAGATCTGGCTTCTCCCATTTAGTACCTGACCTCCCATGTCTCATTTATGTTTTCTAGGTAACACTAGAGCTGGCTTGGTGGGAAGAGAGGTAAAGACAATTTTGTACTTTTTTATCTCTCAGGCTAGAACTATTTACTCCACTCAACTCACGGTCAAGCTGTGACATTTCAGTTCCACCTGAAGTCAGGACGGGTGTGTGGTACTAGCGAGGCTTAACCTGCGAAGTGTGGATTGTGACAGCAGTGCCCCCACAGCGGCTTATGCTGAAGGACAAATGCACCAACACACAGGCAATTTCCATGTTGTCAAATAATGCTTGCTGTGAAGGCATTCGGAACGTTCTGAGGCTATCTGGTATGGCAAGGATTTGGGGGGGGCATTCTTCTTAACTTCCCCCCAGCAGCCTTCCTCCTTACAGCCAGTTTGACCATGTTGGCATAAAGTTCTCCCAATCCCCAAGGTGAAGCTCTAATTTATAATGAACAAAAGAAAATAATAAACTCGGTTCTGCCTCTAGAAAAATATTCTATACCTAACTTTTCTTTTTTTGTTCTGAGTTTATAAATTTATTAACTGTGGTAAATTTGAAGACCAGGGAAGAGAAGTGTCCCTTTTCATTTATATCTAGTGAGGAGATAGATGGCAAACCAAAAGGGTATGAGTAAATAAATTATTACACTAATGATAAAGGTTTAAAGAAATTCAGATACCATCTGGAACCTAGCCTGGTTAGATCACAGAATGTGCCCCTAAGTGAGATGTATTTTGAGCCATGAAGGATAAGAGAATGTTAGCGAAATATAACTGGTGGGTAAAAGTAGTAGACTGAAGTGGCGAAGAGCCAAAGCTCAGGACCTAGACCAACTGGGTTTGAATCCTGGATCTGGAATTACCAGCTGCGTAGCCTTGGGTGATTTAATCTCTTTGTGTTTCACTGTCTTCACTGGAAGAAGAGTATAATAAAAAAAGTCATAGGATAGTTGTAAGATTTAAATAGAGTAATACATGAAAGCACATGCCTATGACAGCCATTCCATAACTACGAGTTCTTACTGATGTCCAGGAAACAGACTATGCAAGGGCTCCCAGGGCAGAAAGCACCTGAAGTCAACACATGACTAAGAGAAGGGCAGTGTGACTGGACCACAGTGGGCAAGGAAGACATGCCCACAGTGTGGCTGACCTGACAGGAACCAGCACCTGCCATCATTGCAAACTGGAACATGATCTCACTCACCTTATTTAAACCTCACACCACCACCATGAGATAGGTGTGGAAGCGATAATATTCTTCCCATTGTGCAGATGAAGTGACGGAGGTTCGGAGCCACCAGGAGATTTGCCCGCATATTATAGCTTGTAAACAGCAGAGGTATTACATGCAATCAGGCATTCTGTTTCGAAACCTTGGATTCTTCCTCTCAGATACTCAGTATCACTCCCCCCCATCACTGCCGGGCTTCCATCTTTAAGCTAACCAACTCCAAGGAAGTGAAAACCCTTTTAGAGATTTTGCTATAAACTCAAAGAACGCTAAATGATGGAAAATAATTCTGTTTCATTCCATTTTTAGGCTAAATGTAACACTGAAACAACTGCATGTACGAAGATCTATAATCCTGTCTGCGGGACTGATGGAGAAACTTATTCTAATGAATGTGTGTTATGTGTTCAAAATAAGTGAGTACAAATTTGAATGTCTTTTAAAATGTATTTTTAAGCTAGTCGTCTTCAAATTTTCATATATCTTATCCCTCTAAGTTCCAATCAATATACCAATAACATTAATCTTACCATGAGAGAAACAAAACATCTCGACTTTCCAAAAATAATTCCCAATCTCTTTTTCTCATTACATATCTGGTATGATTATCTACAGAGATGTGCATGTGTTTATGTGTGTGTGTGCGTTGTTATACAAAACAATACTTATTGTGTCAGGCATTGGGCAAGGCACTGAATACTCACAAATCTATGAGGCAGAGAATACTAAACCCATTATACACATGAAGAAATTGAGCCTGAGCTTAAGTAACTTGCTCGAGATCAACAAGCAGTAAGTGACAGACGTGGGTCCAAATCCTTGCTCTTTCAACTATGCTTTAAAGTCAGGTATCAGACTAAATATTTGTGAGATACAGAAGGAAGTCCAACATGTTTCAAGTCTCAGTTTGGTTATACTCAATGTTAATACAGTGTAGTCAGTGGAAAAAAGAGCAAAGTACTCTGGGAGCACAATATTAAAAACAACTAATTATGCCTGCTACAATTCGGAAAAGTTTGGAGGCTTTGTTTAGGCCATAAAGGAGAGACAGGCACTCCAATAAGAAGAAAAATCTGAACAAAAGGGAGAAAGGTATTAATAACATGGTGCAAGATAAATGTGTTAAGGAAAGGATAGTGGAATAGAGGAAAGTGTTTGAATGGTTCTCTGAATTAATTTTTCAAAAATCACTTGTATAACAAAAACTCATGCTTTACAGCAAATCAACAGATAGTCTAGATTTTTAAAAAGCTAATACACCCAAAATACCTTTTAAGTTTAAAAGATCACAGGGGCGTCTGGCTGGCTCAGTTGCTAGAACATATGACTCTTGATCTTGCATTGTGAGTTTGAGCCCCACGTCGGGTGTAGAGACTACTTAAAAATAAAATCTTGAAAAAAATCATACTTGGTGATGGTAATGATTGTGTTTACAAAAGCCCTCAAAAATACAAATATGAATTATATGGATCAGGTGACCAAAAACATTCTTTTGTAACTTTTTTTATGGGGATGAGAGCCAGCTTCAGTGAATCTCATTTTCTGAAGTGATCATAGGTAGGTGCTGGGAATCAAACTCAGGCCCTCAGAGAAGCAGATCTGCCACAAATTTCCTATTTTACTCAGCTCCTGAACACCTAACATGTGCCCAGCATTGTGCCGGTTTCCTCTGCTTTCCTTGTGCTTATGAGTAAAAGAAAATAGGTCATAAGTACAAATAAGAAAGCTTCTGGTAACTTGGGACAAGTGCCATCAAATGAGGTGTGAGGAAAGTACCTCAGGAGTGAAGGAGAGACACAGATTCCTTAGTACTAAAAGGGTCAAGAAAGGATCCATGAAAAGGATGTCATTTAAACAGGGCTCTGAATTTTGCAGCACCGCAAAGGCATTCCAGGTTAAATAAAGGTGTAGAGTGATCAAAACAAATAAAAGAGATTCCACAAGTAGCCCAGAAAACTGTTATTCTTAGAACCGATTTAGCATTAACAACTTTGACTTAGACTCAAATGACTACACGCATTTCCATTATTCCGTAGTATAAATTCCCAATAACATGACCTCTCTTCTTGGTCTGCTTTAAATCACTTCAGAAAATCCTCAGTGTTAGCAAGAATTGTTGAAATAGGGCCCCAGGGAGAGAGATCTAATATCCTCAAGTTTTAGAACCAAAATATTAGATGTTCTGCTTTGTGGTGAATTTATTTCCACACTAAATATTTGTAAAAGGAACTGGAAAACACTTGTTAATTTTCTCATGACCTAGGCTGTTGACATAAAGGTCAAACATCATATTTCCATCCAAGGGGAGGAGAAAGCAACATAACAGCCTTGAGATTTAGAAAATTCCCAAGTGCCAAGACCAAAATGCCCAACGTTTAGAATGAAATATTGCAAAAATATTAACATACAGCTGAGACACCCCATTCCCTTAGCCTTTAAAACCTACCTGTCCTGCTTACTCATTCTATTTTTTCAAAAACATTTAAATATGAGAAGAACATTTGAATGCCAGAAAATGTAACTTCTCTTCCTGTATTTCTCAGATAAGAAAACAGGTCTAGGGGTGCTTGGGTGCCTCAGTGAGTTGAGTGTCCAGCTCTTGGTTTTGGCTCAGGTGACGATCTCATGAGTCATGGGACTGAGCCCAAGTCGGTCTGCTTGAAGATCCTCTCCCTCTGCCTCTTCTCTCACTCTCTCTCAAATAAATTAATTGATTTAAAAAAAAAAAGAAAACAGGTCTAGAGAGAAAATGTGGCTTTTCCTAGTGTAAAATACTTACAATGTACCATACCACCTTTCTCTCTACTGCCCGTTAAAAGCCCCCCAAAAATACTTTGTTAACTAGAACCAGGCTCTGACCCTAGTTGTTGGGTTTTGAGATGGGTAGACAAAGGCTTGCATCTCCATGATCATTACGTGCTTGTCAGATATAGTCAGTAAGGACTTTTTTCTCTGTCTTCTCAGGGAATTTGTACTGGCAAATTCTGTTCTGTAGACCGGCACTCTCTAGTAGAACTTTCTGCAAAGACGGAAATGTTCTGTAACTGTGTTGTCTAGTATGGAAGCCACTAGCCTTGCCACCAGTACTTAAAATGTGGCTCGTACAACTGGGAAAGTGAATTTTTAATATTACATAACTTTAACTGATGTGAATTTAAAGAGCTAAATAGGGATGGTGTCTTCTATATTGGACAACACAGCCATAGAAGGTAAGTCAACCTGTGTACTGTGTTTAGATGTTTGTGCTATGTATACTAAACAACTCAGACAAGTATTATGCATGGATGATATTTATGGAACAAGAAAACAATAAAACTCTTAAAATGAAGAATCATCAAGGTCCAGATAAATACATGCATAGATATACAGAAGTCAGATGTCCTCAAGTAACAAAGAAATAGAAGAATTTTTATAAACCAGTAGTATATTCAAGGAAAGGATGGTTAAAAAAAGAGAGAGAGAGAGAGAGAGAGAGCTCTGAAAACAACCTCATAAGGCACAATTACAGGATTTAGGAGTACTCAGCTGACAGATAAGAAAACTGGTTTGGGAAAGATAGTGTCCTGGGGAGCAGAGTGGTTTTATCTGGAGGGGAGGATGCTCAGACCTGGCAGGTGTCAGATAGGATATAGATATGATTTCCTTATGTGAGATTTCACAGGTATTAAACCCCAGAGTTCTAAGGCAAAGGATCAGTCAATTAGAACATCCTGTAGTAGCCCAGGCACCAGCTAAGCTGGATGCCTTGTGGCTAGAACAATGATATTAGGAGAAAAAGAAGCAATGATGAATTAGAGATTGATTTCAGAGGTTTACTGTAATGCCACAGTAGATCTGTAAACTCTGTAAGGACATTTTTCCTTTCTGTTGTATCCCTAGTGTATGTAAGAAAGAGTGTCTGTCAATATTTGATGAATTAATGAATAAGTGAATGAATACATGAATGAAAGGCAGGGAAATGGGAATAAAAATTTGAAACCTTTCTATTTTAAATAAAGCTGATGTTTTTTCATTGTTTTTCTCCCATAGTCACTTTTTTTGTCAGCAAAATTCAAGCTGATTTTTTTTTTCATTCTCTTCTACAGGAAGCACCAGATCCCTGTCCTCATTCAAAAATCTGGACCTTGCTGAGAACCAAGGTTCTAAAATCTCCTGTGGTTCCCACAATGCCTAGCGGACCTGACTGTTGAATAAAATGCATCTAAATACTTCCTGTTGTTCCTGTATGCTTTTTCCTCAAAGGCATGTTTGATTACACTGGGGTCAGGGGACTGAGACAAACTCAGAATAGACCAGATTTTACAAAATACAGCAATTCTGAAATCTTGGACAAGGTTTCCATCATGATGCTTTTTCCTTCTCCATTACCTTCCTCACATACTATCGTCTCAGGAAAATGTGATTACAGTTACTAACTGACAGGACCCAGTTGATGCTGAGGACAAAAATCCCACAGAGAATTAAACTAGCTTCAGAAGGAATACTTGGAAAACTTTCAGTCCAGAAACATGTTATCTGTTAGCTTTCGTGACTGAAATAATTTCTTTAGGTTTCCTTGGGATTTAATAGAGCAACCATTGTACGAGGACTCTGTGTAGTTGACTTGGCTTTATATGTGAGCCACAATAACCCTGTAAGGTTATCCTTATCTTGTGAGTCAACGTAGAAAAGTTAAGTAACCTGACTAATAGCACCGGCAAATAAGGTAGCAGAGTTAGGTTTTTAATCCAGGGTGGACTCAAAAATCTAATGCTTCGTCTAAACCACAATCATCTCAGGTGGATTATTCCTTGCCTATTTCTTCTATAGGAAATTTAGGTAGCTTCCTCATATTAAAAGACCTATGTGCGTAGGGACAGCAAATAAGGTAGAAGTAAGAAGTACCTCAAAAGAAAAAGTATCTATAATCACTAAAAAAGAGATGGAAAAGCAGTTTGAATTCTTGAGCCCTTATGAAGAACTAGCCGAGAAGGGAGAAGCAGATGGAGGCCTAAAAAAACCTGAGATGTATCAGGTGCATCAAAATCTTTCCCAACACAGTTGCCTGACACTCTTAAGGTTTAGGATAATTTCTTGTCATGTTCAAAATATTCACGTCTTGAAGCTTAAATCTGACCACTAGAGGATGCTGTGGTCTCCCCAGTGACAGCCAAACCAGAGCCTAAAGCTCGCCAGATACCATGCTAACAGAAGTTATGGATGCAAGATGGCTTCCTGCATCTCGTCTGTGATGCTAGAGGACATTTGAAGGGCACCCTTAATAGTAAACAACTTTGCCACAGTAAACGGAATTTAAATAATTGAATGCTGGAAATTGTCATGTCTAATTGGACCATTTTACAGGTCTGGAGAGAAGAGGTTTGAAGGTTGTAAGTAGAAGCAATATATTAACCCTTCATTGCCTTCAATGGTTCTGCTCCCTCTCTCTCTGACCTGTTAAAAGGTAAACAGAGGCAACCCACATTTCCGCCTGGCCATAATTTTTGGAGCTGCCAACCTGACAGATGCCAGGCCAAGTTCTCAAGACACAAAAGACAAACAAGAAGGGAAAGGATCGACAACTAATGGTATCTAAAAAGCAAATTCATGAGGCACAATTGGAAGATCTAATGATTTTTTTTGTTTGTTTTTGGGGCGAGTTTGTTTTGTTTTGCCCGCCAATCTGGATTTGGAAAGGAAGGGACAAAGGGAAATTTTACCTTCCTCTATGGACCAGGTGCCACAGATAGAGATAGAAGAGCTTCTTTGGTAAGAATTCTTACCCTTTGTCCGCTTTGGCCAGTTTTCCCAGGATCCCTTCCGCAGGCTCCGGAGTGAGCGCGATGCCCCAGCGTTCTCGTCCTGGTCACCAGATACTTTAGACGAGAAAAAAATGATTTTCCCTCCCCCCTCAACGGTGAGTGCTTGGCTGAGACGCCTTTTTCTGTAGGGCGCCTCATAAATGGATAAGCTTATGTACGATGAAAGTTTACTGTGGCCACCGTAACTCAGGATTATCTTTTGCGAGGTTCACCTGCTCGTTCAGTCTTCAAACAAAAATTCTCACCGGAGGCCTCACACGGGACCCCTTCCGGCCCTGGAGCCAGAGGGTTTTGAAAGCAGACACAGTCCAACCCTGAACTCAGTCCGGTTTCCAAGTCGGACCCAGTCCACGCCGAACTGAGTCCCCTTTCCAAGCTGGACCCAGTCCTTCCCTGGACCCAGTTCAGTTTCCAAGTCGGACCGGGTCTGACGTGGGACCCACTCAGGTTTCCAAACCGGAACCAGTGTGACCCCGAACTTCGTCCGGCTTTGAAGTCGTATCCAGTCCGACTGCGGCCAGTTAATCGAGTTGGGAGAAAGAAGAGCTCCAGTAAAGCTGAGAGCTTTAACGTAAAAGCTGCAGGGCTGGGATCCCACAGGGATATACCCCGACCTCCAGAGGCCGCGAGAAGCCACGAGAAGCCGCGAGAAGCCGCGAGAAGCCGCGAGAAGCCGCGAGAAGCCGAAGTCGCGAGCTCGAGGGGCTCCACAGTTACCTGTGTCTGGTTGCTCGTCACTCCTGGGCTCCTTGGGTTCCCTCTTCTGTCTCCAGACCCATGAAGAGATAAACCTGAGACATACTACAGTTTCAAGAGTTTATGTGAACAAAAATTGAATCGAATGGAGCAACCTCCAATCTAGCAGATAGAAAGGAGCTATGAGGGGCACAAAGACGTTACTTTACAAGCAAAAAAGCAGGTTGGTTATTGCAGGGTCGCTTTCCTTTAGGGCAGAGCAGAGGTTTATCAGGCAGATGACCTAACTAGTGCTGATCAGGGGATTCCTGACTGATTTAAGATTCCATTTCTGGGAGAGCAGAAACTGCACTTAAGTCTTGGTTTGGTGGTATGGGGCTTAGCCTAACAGACTCCATTCTGGGCCTGTTGCCTTACTTTTAACAGACCCATCAGAAAGCATGTGGATTACTGTGTTCATGTCTGATGGTTACATTTTAAAAGACATGTTTGCAAGCGGAAATGTGTTTAGAAGAGAGAGACTGCTGGGATTAATAAGAATTTGAAACTTTGTCCTATGATAAATGGTTGAAGGAAGTAGGAGAATTTGGTCTGAAGAAAGGAAAACCCTTAAGTATCTGGTAGGTCTTTTCAAACCATTTAAGAGAGAGTGTTAACACCATGAAAGCAGAGACTTCCTTCCTTTTTTGATTGCTGTATTATAAACTGGAGGATAGTAACATCTAGGAGGTGCTCAATTAATTCTTTTTGTTACCTCAGTGAATGGGGAAAAGGTATGAACATGTTCTGGTTGGCCACAAAGGGAGAATGTAGACTAACTGGCTGGAGATTAAAGAAAGCTGATTTGGGCTCAGTAGGAAAGCATGCACTAGGATGGTTAAGATCAGAGGCTCTGGTTTCTAGCGCTTGGGCCGGAATCCAGCTTTCCTGCCGTCTAACCACATGACCTTGGAGAACCCAGAGAATTTTCTCATCTCTTTTTTTTTTCCTCATCTCTAATATGGGATGAATAATAACAGTTTCCCAACAATTAGCACCATGTCTGCCATACAGTAAGTGCTCAGAATTATCAGCTGTTTATTATTGTTACTACTATTATTATTCATCTTGTAACAATTTGAACCCACTAAAAAGGTCTCCTGGTGCATTAACATTTCCCTGATAGGAGGAATTTTGCTTCTTCAGGTACTAGTTCATTGCATTATTGAATTATCGGCGGTTTTGTGGAAGAGATTCCTCAGCTGGGTACAAGATCACACTAAAATCTCTCTGCTTTCAACTCTAAAAAAAATTTTAGAATTATAAACCACACCCCTCCAAATAGGAACGTGACTGACAACAAGTATTATGGATGGAGTTTTATGTCTGGGTTTTGTGGTCCCTACTGTTAGGTCTCCATCTTGGGGTAAACCTAAGAACTGTAGCCCTCTTTAAATGCAAAAACACAATTACAGGTAAACTCCAAGAAGACATGGTCACAGGGCCAATAGATTTTTTGTAGTTTCCTTTACTAGTTTCAGAGTATTTGAAATGTGAAGCTATCAGAGGGGAATAGTATATAAAAAAAGATTTTTGTCTCATTGGAGAAGTACATGTGTTTCAAATGAAACATTTTAAAAAAACTGTACAAATCTGAGAAATAGGGACATGACTGATACTGTAATTTTATTTCCCTTTCTTTAACCCAATTTATCCCCTATAGGCCCTAGTTTAATCCAACTAAGTAAAAATGCAATTGATTTGCATAATACAGGAAGTACTTACATAAAAAGATACGAAGCTCTTACCTTTCAAAGCCTTAGTTAGCACTGCCAACAATTTCCTTTGCTTTTTTTTTTCATTGTTTAAGTGGTAGCTAACTTAGAGCTAAAACTTTGGAATATATAGATAATAAAATGATGTTCAGGAAAAAGGAATAACATAAATCTGCTTTTCAACAAATCAGTATCCACTGAAAAGTTCCAAACAACAAGCAAATAAGGCTGGTTGGGGATCAAAGCAAAAACCTAAAAAGAAGTAAGACATCCTTATAGGAAAAATAATGCCTTCATTAATTAGGTGGTTAACTTTTTATTTTCTACTTGATTGAATATTGTGTGTTTATATTTTTGTGACCTTCAAAACCCAATTTAGGTTTTGTTTTAAATTACATATATAATATCCAACATTGAGTCTGCAGTTGCAACTACAGTTTTACTGTGCTACAATAATTAATGAACTATTTGTTTTGCTTTCATTAAAAGATACTCCCACTAGCAGGACATCAGAATCTTTCCTTGCCATTATCCAAAGGACCCTAAAAAAAAACCCCTAGCACCCCTCTCCACACCACCATGTCCATTGCAGTATTATCTACAATAGTCATGGTATGGAAATAACCTCTGTCCACTGATGGATGAATGGATAAAGAAAATGTGGAACACACACACACACAAATATTATGTAGCCATAAAAAATGAAATTTTGCCATTTGTGACAACATGTATGGACTTTGAGGGCATTATGCTAAGTGAAATAAGTCAGACAGAGAAAGACAAATACTATATGATCTCACTTATATGTGGAATCTAAAAAACAAAACAAAACACAAGCTCACAGATACAGAGAACAGACTGATGGTTGTCAGGGGTTGGGGGGAAGGAGGTGGGCTGAGTTTGCCAGGAATTATCTGTTCATGGAGTTATTTCTTAGGTATTTCCAGGAGTGAAGACCAATTAGAAATTTTTTCTGAATTGTTACATGTGGAATAAAGGATATTAATCACTATAATATTATGATTAGGGGAAAATGTAAAATTTTCTCCAGTCTACTTCCTTAAACTGAATGGGACTCTGGTACTGTCCTTCCAACACCTCTTACCTTCATTAGCCTTAGGTGAATAATGTATGTGTTTTTGCCTCTGTTCTCAGTGGAAGAAAGACAGGAGAGGAAAAAGGCAAAGGGTAGTTAGTAGCTGGAGAGATTGGAGTATTTTGTAGAGGGACCTTTCTTAACCTCCATAACACCTGGTAGTTGTTGATGAGAAACTGGAACTTAAAATGGAGCCCATTTATTTGCCTCATATTATGACATGTGACCTGTAATACCAATAAAACTACCAACATTTTAATATATTGTCAAAATGCTCTAATTTGTCAGGGGTTTTTTTGTTGTTGTTGATAAAGTGTATGATATAGACAGTAATGCTCAGGCACTATTTTTACATTGTCTGTCTTCATCCTTCCTCTTCTGGAATTTAGAAAATAGGCTCCCGTACTCCTACCTCTACTGTTATTATGCTCTAACTTGCTAAGTAAGTGAAGTTCGCTTTCGATAGGGAGTGGGTATTCACTATCATCAAATAAGCAACCCAATCCTTCTGATCCCTCAGGGACTAGACCTTTCTTTCATTCTCTCATTCTCTCCCAGTGACTCAACCATCCCCTTAGTCATCATCCTATAACCTGGGATTCACGCTGCCTTCTCCTGTAGTATGTCTCTCTTATAAGGACACTCTTTCTTCCTAATCTCTCCCCTCCCCTTATATCACAAGGTCATTTGTATCTACTCCTTTAAAAATCAATCTAGGTAAGACCTTTTAGTCCATTTTCCAGGTGAGGATATTGAACTTGAAGAAGTTCAATAATTGCCTACTGCCGAAGAAGAGCAGGATGAGAATGCCTATTTGACTCCCGTGACACCATGCTGCTTCCTCCATACGTTAAATATTGTCTCTCAATGTGAATGACAATAAAAGAGATCAGTTAATCTCTACATGTACCATGCATTTGGTAGACAAAGGAAACAGCTCCCACAAAGTAGTAGCAAAAGTGTTTGTATGTATTTATCTGAGGTTTTGATTCTTAAAAAACAACTTAAAAGCACTATTATATTTTTTAACTTTAAAAACAAAGTTTTTGTCTCTGAGTGTTTTCTCAGTTAACAGATAATAAACATTCCAGTTTTTGACATTAAAAAGAATTCCCTTAAATGCAAAGATGATAGGAAGCCGTGGCCTTCGGGGTAGAGTAAGAGCTTTTACTTCCTCATATACCTGCTGGGATTCAACCTTTGCCTAGGTGCTAGCTTAAACTGCAGTTACCTTGCCCTTTCTCCCTCACACATTAAATCTACTTCTGTTTACTTGGAAAACATTTTTCTTCTGCTCATTCACTACTCCTCTCCCACTACTTTAATTCTTGTATGGGTGGAGGAGTGCTTTGGAAAGCAAGGGACAAAAGTATGTTAATGACCAACTTAAATAATTTTGTTTTTTCTGGGGGCGCCTGCGTGGCTCAGTTGGTTAAGTGTCTGCCTTTGGCTCAGGTCATGATCTCAGGGCCCTGGGATCTAGTCCTGCTTTGGGCTCCCTGCTCAGCAGGGAGTCTGCTTTTCCCTTGCCCTTTGCCCTTCCCCCCACTTTTGTGTGCTCTCTCTCTCTCTCTGTCTCTCTCAGATAAATAAATAACATCTTCAAAAAAAATTTTTTTTGGTTTTTGTGTCCCTATGAGTTTAAACTGTGATTTTTTTAAAAAGGTTTTAATTCCCAAGGGACAATGTTTCCACCACATGACAATGGTTTCATTGAACTGGAAGATTACACCATCACTTGGCCATTTGAGGATCCTCATGCCACTGAGACAACAAGCAAAGCAGGGGCCTTGATCTCTATTATTAAGGGAAAGCAGGATGCTACCCCTCATTGGGCACAGGGCGGATTATGTCTAGACCCCAGTGGATTCTCCAGGGTGCCTCTTATTTCTTCTAAGTTCAGTAACACAGCTAATGGAAAACTAAAGCAACCCAACAAAAAGGATGACTAAAAACTTGAAGAACGGAGGTTTGAGTTACCCTACCAGGTAAAGAATCTTAACCAGATGAGGTGCTGCTTGAGGTCAAAGGGAACCTGGAGTGAGGAGGAGAGTGAATTACAATGATTACCATAGACTCAAGACCAGCGAATCAACCATTTATAGAAATGATGACTTGTGGCAGTTACATATCGTTTCTTTTTTACATTCTTTCTTTCTACATAGTTTAGTATTTAGATTACAGGATATCCAGGGTGAGAACATTCCTGTTTGTATACAAAGTAGCTAACTGTGTTAGGTAAGAGTACCATATTGTTGCCATTGTTGTTGAGTGAAGTTTGAGGGTAGAAGAAAAGTGAATGAACACTGAATAACCAAGGGGTAGGGGTAGCCCATGGTGATTCTTTGTCTACTAATTGTCAGCTCTATCCCCACTCTTCAGTGCTCTTTTCTATAAAACTGGAAAAAATGGCAGCCCCCCAAACTGTATTTCCCAGGTTCCCTTGACACAAAAGGAGGTAAGAGGAAAGCCATTTTATTTTCTGTTACTGATGGCACATCAAGAAGTGGTTGCAACATCAGTAGGAGTGTAATCTGAGTTCCTGCTTAGCTCGGAGGTGTGCAGGCAAATGGAAGGAGCAGCCGTGCGTTCAGCAGCAGCAGGAGGATTATAAGCTTTTGCATTACTGCTCAACTGCAGGGGCCAGTTTCAGCATCAGGGGCAGCACCTCTGGCTCGTGCTGTAAGAGCAAGCTAGGCTCCAGGTCAGGTTCAATAGCAACTTCTAGTTTCTAGGTAACCCTCTTCTCTCTTCTGTTCCTTCAGCCCCTTTGAGAGCATTGCAACCAATTCCCTGCATTAAATACCTCTCTTAAATATTTAGAGTAGTCTCTGGCGTCTGGGCATGACACTGACTGATACAGATATGAACCTCCAGTTTGTAAAATTTGTGAGAAAACTATTTTCCAAAGGTGTCTGCTCTTTCTAGCCACTATTATTTCCTATCCTAAGTTGGAATCTTGTTTGGGAAATTGGGCTGATCATCTCAGCCAGGGGAAAAGTGTGGTGTGGCTGAAGAGGATGGCTAAGCAAGATATTGGTCCTTGCTGAGGGTGAAGGATCAGGATCCTATCCAGAGATGAAACTGCTATGTTGATGGATCCTAGAATAGAACTACCACTCACTCCCCTTCTTTCCTCTGCTAATGGAAAGAAGGAAAGAGCAAAGGGGTAAAAAGTCATATGCTGGGTCTGTGAGCCAATACAAAGAGAAGATGTCAATCTGGGGAAGGAAGAAGTATACAGGAGATGCTCCCTTCTCCTCATCCAAAGAGCCCCTACCCCTACTCCTACCCCTACCTGTTCCCCTGACAGCTACTGCTAATGGGAAACCTCTTGTGAGTCCAAAGGTGAAAGTGCCCAGACACTCAACCTCCCTAGGCTCCTCCATGAGACTGCTGCTGATCACAGGCATAATCAAGCAAAATGTCCTGAGCCTGGGAGGATTCCTGGATGAGCTACTCCTTCTGTTCAATAGATGAAATTCTCAACACCCTAGGATAGGAGAAAAGGTCACTGTCCGTGGAAAAAGAAAGCACAGCCATCAAAGGAGACAAAGTCTAGGGATGGAGGATTGATGCCAATTAGCCCCCTGCCTTCTGTGTAGACAGCAGTGAGAACAAGGCTTCTTAGAGGTCAGAGGAGAGAAACATGTAAGGCCTGAGAAACATACCTAGGCATCAGGGCAAGTTGTCTGCAAGGAAAAGATTATCACTGTTCTCAGATATCCCTGTGCTAGATTTCTCACCTGCTTCATGCCCCTACTACCAAATCCTACCCCAGTGTAACGGATGCCCTTACTTCTCTCATTTCTACCTTCCTCTGATCTTCCCTTTGTTTTTACCATGTTTAGCTAGAGTTCTCTTGTAAGACAGTGAAGCATATCGTCTCTACCAGTTGTATCTATGAGAACCAAAAGGGGTATTTTGCCCACCTAACAACGAAGGAGGCTTATTATTTATGATTTCAGAAATCTAGATAGAGTGTTCCTCTCGGACATTCAAATAGTTAATGGCCAGAGGTTACTTACCTGATACAAAATACTTTCAACCAAGCATAACAGAGAGGCTGGTATCAATGATGTAAGTTTTAAAAGAGAGAAGAGGTAAAATTTGGCCTATTTTAAGGAATTTGTGTGAAATACTCTGTCACTGGAGCAGGCAGAGACCAAGGCTGGGACAGAGAACAAGGTTCCCTAACACTCAGCACCTGCTTTTTCATGACAACACTGTCTGGAGGTCATTTGCAGGTGCTAGGCAAGGAAGTAAGGAAAAATTCAGCACTATAACAGTATCCTTTTAGCAATGAGAAAGTCTGTGTTTTGGTCCTAGGAGAAGAAATTGTGAACTTCCCTAGAATGGATGGAAAGAGAAAGCAGGAGCAGACACCTCTGCAATCTGACCTATGCACCCTTGAGAGTCCTATGTTGTCTGACAGAAAAGCCACATGGGAAGACTTGATGCTCTTTATGATGCCTGGTGCAGCCCTGACACTAGCCACTGAGGTTACGTGTAATTATCCACACATCCTTTCAGAATAAGGTAAATTTCAGAGCTCACTTGTTTTTCATTCCCTGGAAAGGAAAACCAAGAGTTGGGAGACAGACAGAAATATCTGCCTGTGGGGCATCTGGGTGGCTCAGTCATGAAGCGTCTTCCTTTTGGCTCATGTCACGATCCCAGGGTCCTGGGATCCAGTCCTGTGTCGGACTCCCTGCTCAGTGGGAAGCCTGCTTCTCCCTCCCCCACTCCCCTGCTTGTGTTCCCTCTCTTGCTGTGTCTCTGTCTGTCAAATAAATAAATAAAATCTTTAAAAAAAAAAAAGAAAGAAAGAAATATCTGCCTGTATCTTCCTGGACTTCTGATTTCTCCCCCCCCCTTTTTTTAAAGATGTTATTTATGTATTTGAGAGAGAGAATGAGATAGAGAGAGGGAGCATGAGAGGGGGGAGGGTCAGAGGGAGAAGCAGACTCCCCGCTGACAGCAGGGAGCCTGATGCGGGACTCGATCCCGGGACTCCAGGATCATGACCTGAGCCAAAGGCAGTCGCTCAACCAACTGAGCCACCCAGGCGCCCCTGATTTCTCCCCTTTGACAGTCACAAAATCACCACCTAATTCCCCCTTGGAAATGAAGGAGTAGAGAAGTGTGTATACTTTAGTTTCTCCCCCTGATTGCCTCTACACCCCAGAAACCAGTTAAGCATACTTCAAGATAATCATTTGAAATTAGCTTCGAGGGTGCCTGGGTGGCTCAGTTGGTTAAGTGACTGCCTTCGGCTCAGGTCATGATCCTGGAGTCCCGGGATCGAGCCCCACATCAGGATCCCTGCTCAGTGGGGAGTCTGCTTCTCCCTCTGACCCTCCCCCCTCTCATGCTCTCTATCTCATTCTCTCTCTCAAATAAATAAATAAAATCTTTAAAAAAAAAAAGAAATTAGCTTCAAGTGGGCAAGTTTTGCTAGGATGAGTTGGTCCCCCTGAACTGGGAAAGAACACTTTAAGTGTGAGAAAAGAAAAACCGCAGGTGTAAGGGGTGTTGAGGACGAGACTGGCTAGGGTAGGATTTCCCAGGGCTCAGATCATACCAATATTATACCCACATGACAGACCACTTTTTAGTGTTCCCCTTCCTCCATCCCAACTAACTCTCCAATTCTCTTTGCCAGGTCTCTGGTTAACCTAGGCACTCACCTGACCCAGCTTGTAAATCTTATCTTACCGTTTAACTTGCTGTTTTCTCAACATTTCTGGCTGCATGTATCTTTTGCCCCAGGCAGGCCAGGTTTTAGACATGTCCATCTGTCTCCCCAGATCAACTTAATTTAAGTGGGTACATCATCTTTGCTGCGAAAAAGAGGGTTTTTTTATTGATGTTTCAGGAAAATGGGAATGGAGTCACTTCCCCTAAGATAGAGTGCTGCATTTCTTTACTCAAAGCCCCTGGGAGAGAATAATTGATGAGCCAAGGTTTGCATTTCACCATATGTAACCAAAGGAGTCTATACTCAGTGTGTACTGTGCCTTTCAGTATGTAGTCAACAGAAAATATTTTTTCCAGCTTTTTCTTTTGGAAAATATATTTGGTTGAAATAAAAAAGAGCTATTTAAGTGGCCTCTTTTAGTATTAATACTAGACCACGAATGAATCAATTTTCAATATGAAAACTGGTATTTTAAAAAGTCATTAGGTAAATGACTTTTACGAAATCACTAATTTTCAGCACTTACACCAAGGATGATCCATATATTGAAGCATATGAGAATTTTAAAAATCAGAAATACTGACTCTCAGGCCTAAAAGACTATTATAAAAATGAATAGGAGTTTCCGACTAAAAGACTTCTTTCTACACATTGGTGTAGCATGTTCTATACGGTTATCTGGATCCTGCAGTAAACCTATCCTAGTGGTAAACTTGTTTTTGCCACATTTGCTTACCTTGACTGTCTGATTAGTCTTCTCACTGTCCTTTTTATGGAGGCTATTTTCCTAAATGACTAATTTCAGGGAACTCTCTCCCATTCCAGAGAATGTACTCCTGATGCTCTTTACTGTACCATACTTGAGGTATTTCCTTTTAGCAAGGATGGGCAGAGAATCACATCAGTGCACAAGCAGTCAGATTTGTGAGAGGCGGGGATGGCAAAGGCAGGGTCTGGTCTGTCTGTTTCGAAACTCCCCTACATAAGCAATCTCTATTGGGCATTTGAAATGTACTTCCTTGAAGAATAACTACATCATAAAATTGATCAACAATGAAAATTGGTACTGGACTCGGTACAGGGCAAAGAAAATCCCCCAGCCATTCAGCTCAACTGAGCCCCTTCTGTCATGCAAGAGCTATGGAGCAGGACCTCAGGAGTCCAGCGGAGGAGACAGTATTTCATTTCCTACCTCTTCTAGCTCCTGCTTTACTCATTTCCTCTAAACTAAGTGTGCATTTTCTTTATTCAGTCTTTTACTGACTGACTTTATCATTTTGGGAGAGTCAACACATAAGAGGAAAGGAACTCTGAAGGAGAAGGGGCTTTTCCTTAATATTTAGGGTCCTGTTTATTCCAGAGCCTTAGAAAGCGAATTAAAGAAATTTCTCCTGATGATACCAAACCCTGGGCTGATTTAAGCAAGATAAATAGTCACATATAAAACTTTCAAGCATCCCCATATTTAATATTAGTCCAGTCTTTGGGCAGAGGAGGGGATAATAGATGCCTATAAAGGCACCTCCTGATTAAACATTTTGTGATTTCAGTGTAGTTAGAGTATATCCCTGAGTGCAACCAAGAGGTCTGGTAGAAATTCTTGGGGAAGTAGGAACTCAACTCGGGGCACAGCATTAAATCTAAATATTCCACTAGGGATTGACATGGGAATAGGGTTTACAATGCATCTCAAAGCTTAAGAAAACATGAGCTAGACTACAAGGGTCCAGAGAAGAGAAGAGAAAGGACAAGGAATACATGGTTATGTCATGATAGAAATTAAATGAATTATAAATGTCTGGATTCAGAGACATATTGTGAAATGTTACTTCTCTAAGAGAGGAAGAACAGAAGGAAATGAAGCTTAAACATGTTTTCAGTGTCAGCTTCTCAGGGTTTCTCCTTGATGCCGGAAGCCTATTCAGGGCAGCTCTATGAAGGGGACATTTGATTGGCCCAGAAGGACTGCTGGGAGGGAGGGGCCCAGAGCACTGTTATAAATTACCTCCGGGGAGAACCCTTAACTCCAGCCTCTAGTGCAAGTGATGCTTCAAGTGGTTCAGCTGTGAAGGCTGAGAGGAAAAAAGATAACCAATAACAGCAACTGATTTTAGGGCTTCAGCTTGAATTTTTGGTGTATATTGATTGTTTTGTTTTACATCTCACTTTCCTGACAAATAGTAAGCCCTCCCTAAATTAATGAAGAAATAACTAGAAGGGGGGCACCTGGCTGGCTCAATCGGTGAAGCATGTGACTCTTGATGTTGGGGTCATGAATTCAAGCCCCACAGTGGGTGTAGAGCTTTCTTAAGAAAGAAAGGAGGGAAGGAAGGAGAGAGGGAGGGAGGAAGGACTAGAAGACTCATTCCTTGAAGGAATACCAGGGACATAAGTGAGATGGGTGTAGAAATGAGTGTCCCATTGGACTCAAGTCTCACCCTCCATCCTGGTTTCTCAGATATGCTCTGGGCCCCACAGACAACACCCGACAGTGCTGGAGAGCTCCTAAATGGCTTTATGAGGCTTCTCCTTTCCTTGTTCTCCTAGACCTACCTATACCAGATCCCCACCACAAAGGAAGGGCAGAAATAACAGAGTCAAAGGGTCTGACATAAAACCCAGCCTCCTCTGATTCCATCCATGCTGAAACTAAGAGCCGAGGGAGAAGGGAGAGTATGCACTGGAAGTACACAGAAAACTTTATTCCTGCTGCTTTCAAGTGAGTTGATTTGTTGCCCACACAAGGCTATGACCTACAGGAACTGTCCAGGAGTTGAGGCCCTTCAAAGGGACAATAGAGAAGAGACCCTGGAGAGTTCACTTCTTTGTGGGTGACAGAAGATAAAGTCCCTTTCCAGAATTTTTTTTTTTTTACTGGCCTATAAAGACCCTTCTTAGACAGCTATTGGGGAATAAGAAAAAGCTGCATGAAATCATCCTTTTTTGACATCCTCTCAGTCCATGAAGCCAAAGTACAGGAAATTCTGGGAAATGAAAATGATCCTTCCCTTGCCCCTTCTTGTTCACTAAGATGCAGCACTATAGCCTGAGTGAAGTAGTCTGGGCGAATGCAGAATAGTTTAGGATATAGAGTATGAATCTTCATTTCTCTGACATTCAGTTAATCCCTTCCCATCATTCTGACTGTTAAAGCATTTCCAAGGTTTTCATTGTAAAAGACTGTGTTCATTCTAAGGAGTTAAATTTAGCCCATCCCAGGAGGAAGGGGTAGAATTAGACAATCTCTAAATGTCCCTGTCTAACTTTGGAGATTCCGACTTGTCATGGCTACCCATGGTGCAGTGATGAAACCTGAATGAAAACCTGGCAGACAACGGCAATGACAATAATGGGGTATCAGGCTCAGACTCGGACAGGATAATTTGCTTTCTTTTAATTGAGCAACAGAAAACCTGGACATGTATACCTTCTTAAAGTATTCTTAAGTATTGTTAAAGTATTCTTCTTAAAGTATTCACAGACTGGGTCTCTCATGCTAATAACCGGGGCAGGAAGACCCCTCCTAGACAGATCTGACAGACTTAGCAGAGGTTGCAAGAAGCAATCCCTTCCCCTGATGTCTCCTGACTGCATTTCTCTGCCATTAAGCATGGCTATAAAGTAGGCGAGAATCTCAAGGAACAAGGACATTACCTGAGGCACAGAATCCTGTTCTTTCTTGCCACTCTTCTCTACACGTCAGGGCTTGAGACAATGGGGAAAAAATCCTTGGGAAATTATGGAGCACAGTAGAAGATGCAACATGAAGCTTTATCCCTCTCAATTCTGCATTGCTGAATTTGCTGTCAAACTGTACCTATAAAAGCCCACCTCGATT